TTTATTAAGAACTCTTTTAAACTTATTTAGACCTAGATTTAAGTGTCACTCTCATGTGTATATAAAGAAAAAAATAAGTACTATTAATGATGTTTATTAAAGTAAGTACATCCAAACCTGCAGAGAATGTTTATAAAAATTCGAGTCAAACAGGATTCATTTGGAAGCAGGATCTCAACAGACTGAGAATAAGTGCAGTTTCTTTCATGTACTTGAAATGAGGGAGGGAATGTAAAAATTACCTGAAGGTGGAGAAAGAAAGGCGGAGATTGGATTACTAGACTGTTACGATTATGTACTCTCAGCCCTAGCCAGTGTGGCTTAGTTGGTTAAGCATTGCCCTGTGCTCTGAAAGGGCGCAGGTTTGATTCCTGGCCAGGGCACATAATCAGGTTGTGGGTTTTTTTTTTCTCTCTCTCTCCATTCATGCCGGAAGCCGGTCCACCCTTGCTGCTTGACACAGTCGCTGCAGGGAAGAAACATCTGCACAGCTTATGTTTCAAGGGACCTGGCATATATGGCATATGTTTGCTCCCCCTTCTTAGCGCTATGTGTTTTAACCAAGGTCACCTTTCTGAGAAGGGTTGTTTAGGACTAAGGAAAGGAATCAGTAAAACCCCTTAACTAAGTGCCAGGCGGGTAGTTAATCACTTTACGAACACGGTTAAACTACATAATCTTTATTTAGGATAATCTCCTTCAGTTACTTCCTTGTAGCTTGATAGAACAATAGAGTAACCTTGGAATGGAGATAAGAAACGCCCTAAACTTTGGAATAGAATGGATAGGATTAAAATCAACTGGTATAAATACAGATGTGACAGGATAATAAACACAGAACCTGGCTAGAGAACCTCCCTATGCTGATCAACTGAACGCTGCCTCTGTGTCATTCCTTCTTCGCCAACTCCGTCCACACTTTTGGGAACCCCTGGACCTGCTGGGGATGGACCCCAACACATTCATCTAACGTCAATAAAAATACTTTTTAAAAAAGATTATGTGGCCCTAGCCAGTCTTGCTCAGTGGATAGAGCATCGACCTGCGGACTGAAGGGTCCTGGGTTCGATTCCAGTCAGGGGCACATGGCCGGGTTGCAGGCTCGATTCCCAGTAGGGGGTGTGAAGAAGCAGCCAATCAATGATTCTCTCTCATCATTGATGTTTTGTTCTCTCTCTCTGAAATCAATATATATTAAAAAAAGATTATGTGCTTTCTTGGGGATGGCTATGCTTTAGAAGAAGGAATCTGAAAGGGGGTATTTGAATAGTGTGTTAACCTAGATGCACAGAAATAATGGACAAGTCTTGCTTAAGGCAAAAATAAGCCCTTTACTAAAAGAAGTTATGTGTCTAGGGCATGACTACCCACCGTGAGTATGAAATTAGAAATTTATGATCAGATTACACTGAGGTTACTTTCCATAGAAACCATTTTACCTTAATCAGTTGGGTAGTGGTGTCTGCCAGGATTTATCATAGTAAAGTTACTATTTTCTCCTTTATAATTACTAAATTTTTGGGGGGTGGATACGTTGGGACCATACTTGATTGAATAGTGTCTTCTCAAAATTTCCATCTACCCAGACCTTAGAATGTGACCTTGTTAGGAAAAAGGGTCTTTTGCAGACATAATCAAGTTAAAATGAAGTCATGTTTGATTAAGGAAAACCCTAATCCAATGACTAGAGTCCTTAGAAAAGGGAGATTTAGACAGAGACCTACAGGGGGAACACCATGTGAAGACTGAGGCAGAGACTGTAGTGATGCATCTACAAGTCAAGGAACGCCAAGAATTGCCAGAAGCTAAGAGGGGCCTGGAATATATTCTCCCTTAGAGGAAGGAACCATCCTTGCCAACACACCTTGATTTCAGATTTCTAGCCTCCAGAACCGTGGAGAATACATTTCTGTTGTTTTAAGCCATCCAGTTTGTGGTAATTTTAAAAAATACGTATTTTTTATTTCAGAGAGGAAGAGATAGAAACATCAATGAAAGAGAATCATTGATTGGCTGCCTCCTGCACGGGGTCTACTGGGGATTGAGCCCACAACCTTGGTATGTGCCCTTGAGCGGAATCAAACCCGGGACCCTTCAGTCTGCAGGCTGAAGCTCTAGCCACTGAGCCAAACTGGCTAGGGACAATTTGTGGTAATTTGTTATTGCAAATCTAGGAAATTAATACAGAGACTAAGCAAATATCCTTTTCTGCTTAAACTTCAGTCCACTAATTTTAGCATATATTGGTGGGCATCATTTGGCTCACAGATGTGCACATTATTTTCCACACAGAATTATTCTTGGCCCACAAATACTTGTAATGCAGCATTTCCTAAGAGTGCTTCATTGTTGTTTTTAGGATTTTATTCCAAACTGCTAAGAGCCACTGTGGTAGGTAGAATTCTAAGATGGCCACCAAGATTCCCACAACCTGGTGTACAGGCTTCTTTTAAAAAAAAAATAGATATTTTTATTGGTTTCAGAGAGGGAATGATAGAAACATCAAAGATGACAGAGAATCATTGATTAGCTGCCTCCTGCACGCCCTCACAACCCGGGCGTGTGCCCTGACGGGGAATCAACCCTGACCTCCTGGTTCATAAATCCCTGCTCAAACCCTGAGCCACACCTGACTATACATGCTTCTTGAGCCTGGGCTGGACCTGTGGGTATTAGAGGATATCACTCCTTTATGGCAAAAGGCGTTACTGCAAATGTATTTAAGATCTCTAATCGCAGGGAAGGTGGGTGGGAGGACATCAACCAAAGAACTTGTATGCAAATATGCATAACCCAAGGACATAGACAAAAGTGTGGTGAAGGCCTGGGGCGAGGGGCAGGAGGCGGGGCCAGGCTAGAAGGGGCCAATGGGGAATGAAAGGGGACAAATGTAATACTTTCAACAAGAAGTATTTTTTATTTTTAAAGATATCTAATCAGATTAATCAGAGGGAGATTATTGTGGTTGGGCCTCACCTAGTCTGGTGAGCTCTTAAAAGGGAATCTGGAGGTGGGAGATAAGGGAAGAGAGATGACCTTCTATTGGCCTTGAAGGCCTATGTAAGTTCTATCCTATAAGTAAATGAATTTTGTCAACCACCTGAGATTCCAGAGGGTCCAGAGCCTTGTAGACTACATTGTGCTAATTACACAATATTTATGAAAACCTTGTCTACTTAACAGGTTGCTATGCATGTGAAAAATAAACCTTTGCATTTCCTAATAATTAGACGCATTACTGAGTAAAATTAGCTGACGTTATCTAAATTAGTTTTTTGGTTTTCTTTAGAAAAGATAAGTTTGTACTTAGGCTTTGCAAATCAGTCTAATCCCTCCATCCACTGCAAAAGAAACATTAATAGTCACTCAAATCAAAGTGAAAAAACATTCTTTCACTTTGTTAAGTACAGATTATCTTCAAAGCATTAACACCAGCCAGAATTTTATCATGTGAAGTAATGAGAGCTCTTTAGACTCATATTTCAAGCTTTTGATTTGCCAGGGAGAAAAGTTAACATGTGGATGTATCCTGATATCTGAGATGTAAAGAACTGTAAGATAACTTAAAAGCACATAAGACAAATAAAGGGACACCATGTTATACCTTAATGGGCCATTTGATTACCGTGTTCACTGAAAACTGACCATGGCAGCTGACAAATAGTATAGGGTACCTACCTCTTGAATTGGAATTGTAAGACATATGGTGGCAAATGGCTGGGTTAAAAGATTAGTTACTCTTGGGAAGTGGGATAAAAATGCCTACACTTGGGGCAGAACACTTTTCAAATTCTATGCAGGACTTTGAATAGAAACTTGATGAATTCTAAAAGAATATATACCTATTCATCAAAGCCTACTGTTGCAGGCAAAGTCTATTAGCATTACTGGGATCAGATGCTTTTAGGATATCTTAGATTTTGTTTTAACAGGATTTCATTTTTTACGGCAGTACAAAAGAAATTTTACATCACACAAAACATTAACATAAAACATTTTTTAATACTGTGCCTTTCCGATGCACTATGATGCTTAATGTTATTAGAAAATATTGACAGGTTTAGCATTTATTTCAGTTATTTGGGGATAAACCTAAATTGATAGTATAACATGAAGTAATGTGAGTAAACTGAGATGGGGGAATGAATTGATGAATGAGCCTAGTTGACTACTCAGCATTTGAATCTCAACATTGCTTGGTTGTCTAAAAGACATGTGAATGTAATAACTCTTGTTAGGTGGTGAAACTGTTTCCTTGTGGAAATGGATCTAAAAAGAAGTCAACTATTGCTACTAATAATGAAAGATATCCAAGTAAGTGATGGTTCTTAAAAGATAAGTTATATATAAACAGTAGAATGTAGTACCTAAGAACTATGATGTGAATAAACCTATTATATGCTCTTCACACTAGGTCAGTGGTCAGCAAGCTGCGGCTCGGCAAACCGCGGCTCGCGAGCCCCATGTGGCTCTTTGGCCCCTCGAGTGTGGCTCTTCCACAAGATACCGGCTCATCCACAAAATACCGACTTCTGCACATGGGCCACGAAGTTTCAATCGCACTGTACGTGCGCGCCCACACGTGGTATTTTGTGGCAGAGCCACACTCAAGGGGCCAAAGAGCCGCATGTGGCTCGCGAGCCACGGTTTGCGGACCAGGGCACCAGGTAAACTACCATAGAAGGAAAAAAATGAAAAATTGATTACTAATATCTAATGGAATAACTGAAAGCTACTTTTAGCATTTGAGCTAAGTGTGCATATGTGTGTCCACATACACAGGACAAATTTCTCAGCAGTCTTTGAACACACAATGACTATATTACTACTGGAAAAAAAGTTGACTTATTTTCAAGTATGTTTCCTGGAGACTAGCAGTAGTTTCTCTCAAATTAAGAGTGAAGACACAAGGCCATGAAGTGCCAACTCTTAGCACCAGAGAGACTTAAAACTTCATAGAATGTGAATGACATTACAAATCAGAGAATTTGCCAATCTAGTTCTGTGGAATTACTGTATTTTTCTCAAATGGGAAATAATCCAGATTTATGCCAAATAGATTTAAAAAGCTCATCTTTTTTTAACTTTTTTCATAATTGCCATTTATAATCCTATATAAAATAAAATCGCTGCCTTTTGATACAATGCTCAAAGTTTCAGAGATGTGAAAAAAACAAAAATGAACCAAAAACATAGTTTATATAAATCAAGGTCCCAGATATGAAAATTAAAAGTAGTCTCTTAGAGAAAGGAATGGTGAAATTCAGTGTGTATTTTCAGGAACACACCCCAAAACTGTTATGTGGACAGCCAATTTTGACTGCCAATTCTAAACTGCCATCCGATTCCTTTAATCAACATTATTAAATCAAGTCCGAGGCAAGACACTGAAAGGACAATACTCAAGTAGAAAGATAGTAACTTCCTTCCTTGATAAACCATCTCCAGCTGTCGTTCAGAAGCTGAAGTTATTTGATGGCTTGGGAAGCAGTGTCCATTGAGTTTTCCTTTCTGACCTGAAGCGACTCACTGCTGATGGACAGTAATTCTCGAAGTTCCTTATTTTCAAGCTGAAAAAAAAAAAAGGTATGTTTATTTCAGGTATTTTGACTGTTTAATTGCATCAGAACACATTGTTTCGGGTCAGGAACAGAAAGCATATTATTTTAATTTTTAAAGTTTTAAGGAAAGCACTGAGAGTTTCCTAAAATACTACTTATTTGTTAACTGAACAAACATTTACTGAGCAATTTTTATATGCTACTTTGTTAGGACTACCAAAAAAAAAAAAAACTCTCCACTAGAGGAATTTACTGCTTGTAATACTCTTTTTGGTTCCCTAAGTTTTGCTACTGTATCTTCTGTCTTTCAAATTCCTAATAATACTTTCACTTCACTCAATCTTCTCTCCTGTATGTCCTAAAGGAAAGGAGAAGAAACTAATTAGCCACGTAACCAGGTACCACGTGGGTGTCTTACATGCATTATCTCACAACCATCTGTCGGGTAGGTACCATCGCCTATACCAGTGATGGCGAACCTATGACAGGCGTGTCAGAGGTGACTCGCGAACTCATTTTTTTGGTTGATTTTTCTTTGTTAAATGGCATTTAAATATATAAAATAAATATCAAAAATATAAGTCTTTGTTTTACTATGGTTGCAAATATCAAAAAATTTCTGTATGTGACACGGCACCAGAGTTAAGTTAGGGTTTTTCAAAATGCTGACATGCTGAGCTCAAAAGGTTCGCCATCACTGGCCTATACCCATATTCTCTTTAAAATGAGGACAATGTGGCTCACAAAAGTCCATAAACTTGTCCAAACTCAGATAACTTGGATGTGGTATTGCTGAGATCTCCATCTAATGCCCATGTTTTTTCCACTTAAAGTATTAAGTAAAATTTGTCTCATGTTTCCTGAGGGCTCTTTCCATAACTAAGGAGAATATAGACAAGGTTGTTCTATCCTTTGAACTAACTCCTAATTCCTACTTGGAACCTTGTCAATCCCTTTGATTTCCAGATAGGGCCGTTAGCACTCTTCATCCTTATTCTCTCTGCAGGAAATTCTGGTAAGCCATAGTGTTTTCAGGCAAGAATCAGAACCTATGGCAGTGATGGCGAACCTTTTGAGCTCGGCGTGCCAGCATTTTGAAAAACCCTAACTTAACTCTGGTGCCGTGTCACATATAGAAATTTTTTGATATTTGCAACCATAGTAAAACAAAGACTTATATTTTTGATATTTATTTTATATATTTAAATGCCATTTAACAAAGAAAAATCAACCAAAAAAATGAGTTTGCGTGTCACCTCTGACACACGTGTCATAGGTTCGCCATCACTGACCTATGGTCATTAAATCTTCTACCATATCAAGTGCTTCCCCTTGTACTTTGTCTTTCTCTCCTGGCATTTATTTACCATGTCATATCTTACTAAGAGGACAGGTGCACAGATTCGTGCACCGGTGGGGTCCCTCGGCCTGGCCTGCGCCCTCTCACAATCCAGCCCGTCAGGGACCGTGGGAGGCTGGCTGGCCAGGATGGGACCGCGGGAGGACTCCAGGGCATGTCTGGCCCATCTCGCCCAGTCCCAATAGGCCGGACCCCAGCAGCAAGCTAACCTACCGGTTGGAGCGTCTGCTCCCTGATGGTCAGTGCACATCATAGCAACTGATCGAGCAGTTGACCGACTGGTCGACCCAATGGTTGGACACTTAGCATATTATATATGCCTAATTATAAGATATATATGTATATATATGGAATTTACTGCTTGTAATACTCTTTTTGGTTCCACAAGTTTTGCTACTGTATCTTCTATCTTTCAAATTCCTAATAATACTTTCACATAAGTACAATAAGTCTTCATTTAAGTACAATAAGTCTTCATTTAAAGTTATCAATAGGTACTGCGACTTTAAGCAAAACAATGTATAAAGAAACCAATTTTACCATAGGCTAAATGATATAAACAACAGTTAAGTTCCTATGGCATCTCATCAATGTTGTAATGAAATGACATTGAAAAAAATGAAGTTATTCAAGGACCTGCTGTACCAGTTTTGTTCCTTTTACTAGACTCTGAGTAGGGATCCTAGCTTTCTTTTTCTGTTATTTCTCAAAGGGCTCATGACAGCACCTAGTAATCAGCAGCATTCAAACCATCTATGTTTTTCCTTAACAATTTTAAGGGCATACTAACACCCCAGGCCTTTCTTTGTAGAGTACTTCAATTTTAATCAAAATATTTTATGAAAAACGCTTTAAAAAAATCAAGATTACAAGGCTTATAAAGTAAACAGTTATCCCTTGGTTTTGTTCCCTGAAGGCAACCACTTTTAATACTTTTATCTGTTTCTTTAGTATTCACTTCTATAATCACCCTATATAATAAAAAGCTAATATGTAAATCGACCAAACAGCAGAATGACCAGTCGCTATGACACGCACTGTCCACCAGCGGGGCAGATGGTCAACACAGGAGCTGCCCCCTGATGATCAGTGCGGTCCCATAGGAGGAGCACCACTTGGCCAGAAGCCCTGAGCCAGGCTCACTGCTGGCAAGCACAGCAGCGGTGGTGGGAGCCTCTCTTGCCTCCATAGCAGTGCTAAGGATGTCCAAGCGGGCCTAAGCCATCAGTCGGACATGCCCCAAGGGCTCCCGTACTGTGAGAGGGCACAGGCTGGGCTGAGGGACCCTAGCCCCTTGAGTACTCAAATTTTGTGCACCGGACCTCTAGTTTTAAATAATATGCCTGTACTGGTATTTCTTTATCATCAACTTTAGACATTAACTATTTGACTTCCTTTAATGGCAGATGAGGGATTTTAATTCACAGGTAATCTGTCCTTTCCACACTCTCTGCCCTCTGGATATGATAACATCTCAGTTTCTAGCCAGTACATAATTGGCATTTTCATTGCTTGCTGCTGGCTACATTTCCTTTTATGAAAAGGGTATGGAGGAGTTTTAATTTTAAATCAGCAGAAGCACACAGAAAACTTCAATACATTGCAGTGACAGGATGGCGATGGCATTCTTCCAGACTCTATGAAAACTTGGTGAAATACTGTGAACCTAAAATAGCAACAATCTTACCTCTAATTGGGCTAGTTTTTCCTGAATCTTACAAAATTGGTCATCATCCACCTGGACTGCTTTCCTCATCACTTCTCCCATTTCACAGATTCTGTCAATCTGACTCTCAATTTCCTGTGAAGATAACACAAAAAAGATGAAAAAGTCATCTTTTCTACAGATATGAAGTTCATGAGAATGTGGCCATTATGATGTTAAAAATTTAATCTATGCTACAGAGGTTACACAGCCAATTCACCATAATCTGAGTCCTCAGAGGTAGAACCAGAATAAAGTTATCCTGTGGTATTCACAAATAATTTGTTTTCAAAAGATCGATTCTAGTCTAACCACCCGCTGGATGTTGGACAGCATCTCTAAGGGGCTTCTTAACTTAAACTTGAATACTTTTATTGGCAAGAAGGTCAACAGATTCAAAGGGACCTTATTCCATCTTTGGACTTACCTTTTTTTATTTTTACTGATTTTCAGAGAGAGAAGAAGGGAGAAGGAGAGAGAAACATCAACGTGAGAGCAAAACATCGGTCGGCTGCCTCCTGCATACTCCCTCGTTGGGGATGGAGCCTGAAACCCTGGCACGTACTCTGACTGGGAATCACACCAGCAACCTTTTGGTGCATGTGACCTCACCCAACCGAGCCACACCAGCCAGTGCTGTTCTTCTCTTTTAACAAGTTTTTCATATGAACTAAAATCTGTTTCCTTCAAGGTTCAAATTTTCTCCTGTAGTCTAAGGAAAATAAAATTTATCTTTCTCTTCCATATGAAAGCCATTCACATACTTAAAGCATCGCTGTTCCCTAAGACTTTTCTTAAGTCAGTAAAATGCTTTCAGTGGAATCTAGGATGAAACTTTTCCTAAATTCCACTGCAGCAAATAGTGAGGCACTAATCTATTAATTCATGATTAAATGATACAGTACATGTGAATGTACAAGGACAACCATAAAGCACTCTACAGACATAAGAACAATTACTGGGTCTCTCAAGTTCAATCATAATCAACCAAAGTGTAGAAATGATGCCCTGTATATGTATTTTTATTGATTTATTTTTAAAATATATTTCATTGATTTTTTACAGAGAAAGGGAGAGGGATAATTAGAAACACTGATGAGAGAGAAACATCAATTCAGTTGCCTCCTGCACACTCCCTACTGGGGATGTGCCCACAACCAAGGTATATGCCCTTGACCGAAATTGAACCTGGGACCCTTCAGTCCGCAGGCCAACGCTCTATCCACTGAGCCAAACCAGCTAGGGCTGTATATGTATTTTAAAACCATACTTTTGTCTCCTAATGAGCATGATGTTATGTGGTTCAGTTTAATAAAAGTTTCCTGACAGCCTGCTATGTGCCAGGTACTATGTTAGGGATAAAAGATGAATTTATGCTTCTTATAACCAAGAAGCTTACAAGTTAGTAAAATGTACAATCATAACCAATCAGGTATTTACTGAGCCTCTTTGACACTAACTAGCATTATGTTTGGTGGAAGAACTAAGCATTCATTAGCATCTTGGGAAGATATTGGTGAGGGAGAAAGGATCCTTAGTCCTATTCAAATGAAAGGACCTGAGGGCCCCTTATCCTTTTTATTCAAATCTTTACAAAGCTACGGCAGAACCAACAGTGAATGTGATAAACACGAAAGGAAAAAAAGCTTACTCTTCTTCAAAAACAGGCACACAAGGTAACACAATTTCAAGATTTCAATTCAGTTCATTTAGAATTTATCAAACTTTCTTACTGCCGAGTGAGTTTGGTGAGCTTTCAGGACTGGTTCAGCATCCACTGCTTTTTTAGCAACCATTAATTGTAGCATCTGCTTCCGGTATTTGCTCATGATGAGTTCCAAAGCATCCTGGTGTTCCTCCAAGGAAACCCACAGTTCTGTCAAAAATAAAAGAACTTGGCAGTGATGTCTGAGAGAGAGCTTTCAAAGGCAAACTCTTAACAGTTGGAATTTTATGACACTCCATGAGAACTGTGATTCCACATTTGTGAATCATTGTTTAAGTCCACAAAATACAACAGTTAAGGTCAATGTGAAACATAACTTTCTAGGCAGAGGCAGCATAGTTTGGTAGAAACATGGGATTTGGAATCAGAGGCATGGGTTTGAGTTTAGTTCTGTGAGTGATTAGCTTAATACTCTTAAGCAAAGTGTTTAACCTCTCTGAGCCTATTTCTTATCTAGCTCATATACCTCAATATGAAAATATAAGAATACAATGGGATGATATATGTGGAAGCCCTGTCAACTGACATACAAATAACTATTCATACTTCTATCACTAATAATGTACTTATCAAGCCTAAGAATATACATCCTGAGTATAAGACTCAGCTCCTCCACTTCGTACAAGAACAGAAAAAAACTCTTCAATCTTTTTAAAAACTTTTCAATCTTAACTGTAGTACATTTGAATATTTAAACTTTACATTTTAATCCCTTGAGGATATAAACCCTAATTCACCTCTACTAAGCACTCTTTGATAAGCTGCCTATAAATATAGACAACCTTGAAAAGGGTAATGTAACCAACTTTATTTTACGGGACCAGCACAGGATAATTCTGTTACTAAAAGTACTGATTGGGAAATACAATGCATTTTAGTAAACGGTTGGGCAGTTTTGCGAGAACTTTCGCATTATTTTAACTGGGAATGAGAAAGTCACAATAACTACACAAAAAGGCCTGACTAACCTCTGTTTTCCTGCTGCAAGTCTCTAATCTGCGTGTTCTCTTGGGACAGCAGAATGTGAGGTTTGTATTTGGACATGTCCTTTATGTCGGATGCATCCTCTTGATACTGGACAAACAGAGACAGACTTAGCACAGGTGCGACCGAAGAGGCAGGAGGCAGGGCTCCCGGGCAGCGTTCTCAGCCCCGATCCCGAAGAAAGGTCTCACCGCCGCCGCCCCCCCTTCCCCCGCCCAGGAATACATTCCAGGCCGAGGTCCCACTTGACTTCACCCTCCACTGGTCAAGAGCCCAGAACCTGAGGGCACGGAGCCCTCCTCTCTGCCTGACCTGGTCCGGAAGCGCCGTCCCCGCCTCCCGCATAGCGGCCACCCGCCGGTGCAGCGCCGCCGACTGATCCACCAGCGACTCCGCGGCCGCATCGTGCTCCCGCAGCCTCTCCAGCAGCGTCTTGGCGTCGGTCAGGATCTTCTCGATGGTGCAGCTCATAGCGACTGCAGGACCACAGCCCCAGCGCTGCTCGCCTGAGCCAGTCGCTCAGGTCCTGAACCTGTCCCCGCGTCAGAGACGTCACTTCCGGTATGCTTAAAAGGCATCGGCTCGCCGCCTGCGCCTGCGCACTAGCTGCCAAGTCCGTGGATGACCTGCCTGCTTTCACCCGAGGCTTCCCTGCAGCCCCGCCCTGCACCGAGCCGGAGGCCTGCCCTTGCCACGCCCTTGGTTTCCTGTTCTCACGGCCTGGTGGGCAAGTTTGGATTTGCAGGGCAGGTGGAGTTTCTTTACTGTTTTGTTTTGTTTTGTTTTTTTAGGGCATGTTTATTACAGCTGGGAACAGCGAAACAAGGAAGGGCTTAGGGTAGAAGAAGCAACAGGGAAGAGCCTAGCTGGCGGTTTGGGCTCTAGAAATGTGGTAGGAAAGAAATGGGCCTAGGTGGGGCTGCTTTGGCTCCCTGAGAAGTCAGAGAAAAGGGGGCCTGGAGCCAGGTTCAGGGGGTTAGCCCCAGCCGAGCTGCCACTGCCCAGTGCTCCCCTGGTTGTAAGTCTCTGGAGACCCTTAGAGTTTAGATGCCCTTCTTTGTTTCAGGAACTGTTCAGTGTCTGGGAATTCAGCATCTTTGCTTCCAAACCTGCTCCTCCTGTTTTAGTAAAGAGCACATTCATACACCCACTTGCCCAAAACAGAATCCTGAAAGTCATCCTTTATTCTTCCTACTAAGTCTTTATATATATATATATATATATATATATATATATATATATATATTTTTTTTTTTTTTTTTTTTTTTTTTTTTACAGAGAGGAAGGGAGAGAGATAGAGAGTTAGAAACTTCGATGGGAGAGAAACATCGATCAGTTGCCTCCCGCACATCTCCTACTGGGGATGTGCCTGCAACCCAGGTACATGCCCTTGACCGGAATCGAACCTGGGACCTTTTAGTCCGCAGGCCAACGCTCTATCCACTGAGCCAAACCGGTTTCGGCATTCCTATTAAGTCTTTACACTTAATCAGTTTCCAAAGCAACCCATCTCTTGTATCTTCAGAACATATTTCCTTTTTTGTATTTTGCTGCTAAGGCCATCATTCTTTCTCACCAGTTTCCAACTGGTCTTCTCCCTACTCAAGTCATCTCCTCCTCTAGTAACTCTCCCTCAAGGTTATCACAACCCCTTTCCCTTTTAATGGCAAGTAATTATTTCTGTGCCCCACACCATTAGGACTGAGAATTAGACTGGTCATGCTAATTCCACAATGAACTGACAAACAATTATTCTTACTTTCTTGTGTAAAACCTCCATTTTATTTGAAGTTTGTTTCATCTAGCTGAAGATTCTTCTCTTCTTCCTAATTATCTCCTATCTTGGTTATTCTCCTTTATTCACAGAAGACTTGAGTTGGCTTATAGTCTTTTCAATTAATCCATATGTAGCTCTCATCTTGAGTGATAGTCATGTCCATGGGAACTATTCATGTAATGTTCTATTCTTCTTTGGCCTCCTCAGTTCTAGAAACATTTATTTTGGCTATCCATGGCCAAGCCCTTTATCATTCACCAAAAATTGTTCCTCATCAGAAATGTTAAGCTTTAATATCTAACTATTTGATTGTAACCTTTGCTTCAATCTATCTAGTTCTTGTAACCCTTTCTCCCACTACTTTCTCTTTGACCTCATCCAGCTCTAAGATTTCTGAAAATACTCATATTCTCCCTAACTATCAGACTCTTTCCTTATAGTTTAATTTTCTTTCCCTTACCAGACTGGGCTCTTATGATTGGCAATCTCAACCATTGTCTTTCTAACATCCCTAATTTATTTTCACCTCTATTTTAAAGCCAAATTCAAGCAGTGAACTCCAACCTCTGACCCATCCCATGATTTTAATAGTGGTTAAAAAGGGATACAGAAACAATGGAAGGCTTTTGTTTCTGTTTTGCTTTTGTTTTAATGAACAAATCTTGAGCATATTTAAAAGGCTTTATAGAGGAAGGATCCAAACGAGAAAGAGACACGAGAAAGTAGGGAGATTTTTAAAAATTATATTTTTATTTATTTCAGAAAGGGAGAGGGAGAGAGATATAGAAACATCAATGATGAGAATCATTGATTGGCTGCCTCCAGCATGCTCCCTACTGGGAGCCGAGCCCACAACCGGGGCATGTACCCTGACAGAAAAATGAATGACCTCCTGGTTCATAGGTTGACGCTCAATCACAAAGCCATGCTGCCCAGGCAGTAGGGGGATTTTTGAAGGAAGAAGAACCAGGAGGAGAAGGGGCATAATAGCTACTTAATCTTTGCTGGATATTTATTGGGATGATGGGCATAGATTTCAGCACATAGGTGAATATGCTGGACTGGAATAAGAGACATTCCATTCTCCTTAGTTACAAGGAAAATAAAAAGGATAGGAACAAATATAGATTCTAAGTGGGGAAACATGAAGTTGAAGGGAATTGTAACCTTGAAGCCATCCCAGTGCTTCTGCATCCCTTCAGTAAACCAATAAGATAAGCTCAGGCAATTTTAGTGTTATGGGTATTACAGAATTACCCAACATGTCTTTTGCTTGTTCTGACTATTTCTATTCTGAGCTAATTTCTTTCTGGCTCCTGTTTCTTGGCTCCATTTCCTCATACACTTTGGGCCAGGAAGCAATTTTGGGTCTCCCTACCTTCATTTTCAGATGGCCCTATCAGAAATTCTACTCCTGCCTCTCTCAGAGTGTATACCTTATCCCAGTGATCCTCTAATGATCCAAATGCCAAATCTGACCGACAGGGCAGTGTTCCTGCCCCACTTACATGAGCTCTAGTGAGGGAGGGACTTGGATATTTTATTGAAAATCTCTCTCTGGTACCATGCCCATTGCTGTAGCCATACCACAGAACCTGAGATACCCTGCTCAGAGGTGTCGGAGGACGGGGCAGACGGTGGTCCCAATGGTCCACAACAGAGACAAGGGTGGCGAGACTCAACTTTACCTGCCCCTAGTACCCCCACAGCTTCTGTCATTGTCCACACACCTACACTGCACCTTGCTGATGTCAAGCTTTTGATACCACTGGAAAAAATTTGCAGCAATTCAAAATGCAAATCTTTAGAGACACTTAGAATCTATGTTTAGGAAGCATAGATGTACAGCATTACATGCTCCATATTACATGTATTAACTAGCTCATTTTGCTCCTTTTTCCTTCTCCAAATTGTAAATTTTGAGCTTCCAGACCTATTTTTTCCTGTTGTTGCTAACTAATGGCTTACTAGCACTTGGCCTTGAAAAACCACAGACCCTCATACTTATAGTGAAAGAAATCTCAGCAAGATAAGAAAAAATGTTTAGTCTTCTTGAAAGTAAGAAAAGCAGATATTAGTTTTTATTATGAAACTCTCCTTGTAACTGTTAATTCTAATTAAAGGACACCTTGACTTTAGAAACCGTTGCTGCAACCTATGATTAGAAGGCTGTATTCTGATATGAAAATTCTTCAAATCTAGTTCTCATGTAATCTACACTAATAAAAGAGAAAAATGGTAATTGGCGTACAGCGATACCGTTTTCATTGGCTAATCAGGGCTATATGCAAATTAACTGCCAACTAAGATTGGCAGTTAACTGCCAAGAAGATGGCGGCTAATTTGCATACGTAGGCACAATGCAGGGAGGCGAAAGGGAAAGCAGGAAGAAGCCCCCTGCCACTGACAGTGATCTGAAACCCAGGGGGGAGCTAAGAGCTGGGGGGCAGGGCAAAGGTGGCCCGGCTGCCTTTGCCCTGCCCCCCAGCCATGATCAGAGAATTAGGCGGCTTTGCCGCCCTGGCCAGTGATAGCAGGAAGTAGGGGTGGAGCCAGCGATGGGAGCTGGGCACGGTCGAAGCTGGCAGTCCCAGGAGCTAGGGGTCCCTTGCCTGGGCCTAAAGCGAAGCCCACGATCGCAGCGGCCGCCCCCCCCCCCCCCCCCCCCCCCCCCCCGCTGCCACTGCAGGTCCCCACTGCCCGGGCCAGACGCCTAGGCCAGAGGCGTTAGGCCTGGGCAGGGGCGGAGCCTGCAACCGCGGGGAGCTGGGGGTCCCCTGCCCAGGCTTGACACCTCTGCCGGAGGCCTCAGGCCTGGTCAAGGGGCCGATCCGGTGATTGGTGATCGGAGGGTGATGAGGGTTAACTCCTCTGGCTGAGGCATCAGGCCTGGGTGGGGGGCGGAGCCGGGGATTGGGGGGATATGATGGTCCCCTTGCCCAGGCCTGAAGCCTGGGTCAGAGGCGTCAGGCTTGGGCGGGGGGTGGAGCAAGCAATCAGAGGGAGATGGGGGTCCCCTGCCCAAGCATGATTCCTGGGCCAGAGGCCTCAGGCCTAGGCGGGGGCCAGAGCCAGTGATCAGGGAGAGAGGGGGTCCCCTGTCCAAGCCTGACACCTCTGGCGGAGGCGTCAGGCCTGGGCAAGGGGCCGATCAGGCGATCGGAGGGTGATGGGGGTCAACGCCTGAGGGCTCCCAGTATGTGAGAGGGGGCAGGCTGGGCAGAGGGACACCCCCCCCACACACACCCAGTGCACAAATTTCGTGCACCGGGCCCCTAGTGTTTAATAAAGCATATATATATATATATATATATATATATATATATAATCAATTCCATATTGAAATTCCAAAAATTAAATAATAGTAGTGAATGTTTCTAAAGCACTTCCCTCTTTGACACTTTAGTTTCACCAGCCACAAGTGATTAGGTTTATGCTAATTAACACAAAAACAACTATTTACACTGCATCTTCCTCCTAATGCCCTTACTTTCTATCACATTTATTTTTTTTTAGGCTGAAGAGAATAGATCACTCTAATTTCCAGTGTTTAACTACAGTCATCAAATGTTATAAATCGAGTTTATTTTTTCCATTGAGTTGGTTCATTAACTTACCACTGCTTCCTATCTTGCCTTACTAATCTTTTTAATATATTTTTATTGATTTCAAAGAGGAAGGGAGAGGGAGAGATAGAAACATCAATGATGAATCAGCTGGGGATCGAGCAGCAACCCGGACATGTGCCCTTGACTGGAATTGAACCTAGGACCCATCATTCTGCA